GAGAAATGAAAGCAGTGTTCACACAAAAAATGTGCACATGAATGTTTTATAGCATCATTATTCATGATAGCAAAAGTGGAAACAACCCACATTTCCACCAACTAATGAATGAATAAATAAAATGTATTATGTCCACACATGGAATAGTATTCAGCCATAGAAAGTACTGATAAATCCTACAAGGATGAACCTTGAAAACCCTCTGAGCCCTTTTGAGTATCACTTGCAATTTCATTCAGAGCTTAATAAAAATCACTGCTTCATTTAACATAGGACTATTTGAATCCCTTTTCAGTCCAAATAAAATAAATTTTTATTTTACGTTATTTAAAAATTTATTTATTGATTTGAGAGAGACTAAGAGAGAGGAGAGAGCTATCAATTTGCTGTTCCATAATTTAGTATGCATTCATTAGTTGCTTCTTGTATTTGCCCTCACTGAAGATCAAACCTGCAATCTCGGCATATTGGGAGCAACGCTCTAACCAATTGAGCTACCCCACCAGGGTCCAATTTTATGATTTGTCTTTCAACAAATTCTTTTGGAGATATACTTAAGAATTTAAAATAAACACAAATCCATCTCCATATTAAAAATAAAGGCTGTACCTAAAACATATCTTTACACATTTGCACATAATTGAGGAGTATTACATCCTTTCCCACTTTTAATACTTCCCATGGCTTTCTCAATGAAAGCCATTTGGGTCACAAAGTTTGTGAGCAAACAACTCATACCAAATATTATTCTTATATTTTTAAACAGTGGTTATCCTTTATCCTTGGGTTAAAGCACTCATGTAACAAGAATTAGTCCCTGAGTCCCACCATAGGTTTACAAAGTGTGATATTGAGTTGAAGTTGATTGGCAATGGACCCTCCCTGTTTGAGTGGACCACTTAACAATACTACAAACCCAGCTTCCAATGCAACTTAGCAAATTCGAAAGTAAAAACATAAAATACACATAAAACCAAATTAGTTTATTGTTCAATCATTTTACTATTGAGGGGATAGGCTAAGGGGAGGCAGTCCTGATGCTGTCACCTCCAATTCTTCAGTGCCAGGCTTCTAAGCACTTACGATGTCAGAAACAACAGATTCATAAGATAATGTTAACATAAATGTATTTTAATTAATCTCTTGCCTAACACTATTCTAATGAGGAGCTAAATACAACAAAATCAGAAAAACCACCTCCTTAAAAGTTCACACGGCAAATATTTTCTGTAAGGCAGCTTTCTACTCTATGTGCAAAACCTTTTTTGTTATGACTCACTGAAAATTAAATATGCAAAACTCCAAGCTGAGCTTAGTTTTGCCTGTGCACAGAGACCTTTTTACTCTCATTCTTCGAAAACCTCATTTTGGATCTTGCTGCCAACACCAGAGAGAGGAAAGCGGCCAACAATTCCAAATATAACATGCGGAGGCAAATGCTACAGAAATCTGTCTGACGGGAAGCAACCATGCTGAGGTCTGCTGAGGTGGATGCTCTTCTTAATCAGACCATTTTGGTCCCTCAGTCTGGAGCAAAATGTCATATGAGAAAGCAATCAGAGGAAACCATCCAGTTTCTAGTCAGCCTCATTATCAATGCCCTCTGTTACTCACTTTATCAGTAAGAATAATTCTATCCATCTCAAACAGAAAGATGGGTCAGTGGCAAATAGAGCTCCATCAGTTATTCTAATATTTTTTTCACTGATGTTTTAGGGACCAGTCCACGAAGACCAGTATTTTCAGAAGTCTCAACTTATGGCATGACAATCATAGTAAAGGTCAGGCTCACCAGGGAATACTTAAAAACATATCTCTTTCCAATTCTCCAGGGGCAGGTTTAATAACCCCTGCTACCACTCTGAATAATTTATAACCAGTTAAACTTGGATAAAATGATTACAATATCACTTAAACAAATATGAAAACATCCTTAGCTCCTCAAGTTTAATTCTTTAGTGAGTTAATGGTACCAAGTACAGAGAAATTCATTTCCTCAGCCAGATCATTACAAAAAACCCCAAGTAGGACTCCTAGTCTAATTGGGAAAAGGACTATTCTTCATATAAAGCTCTGACCCTGAGACAAGACAAGACAAGACAATTAAAACAGCTTATTTGACCAGTCATTTCCTCCAGAAGTTTATCTTAGAAAAATCCCTGGTGGTTGTGGCTGTCACTAAACCCAGGAGGTAAAGCTTGCCTAGAATCACTTCTGGAACATTTGACTAGATCGGGTTCACGGTGAGGCAAGCTGGCAAGGCACACTGGAGAGACTGGAAAAGGACTTGTTTCAGAGCTTTGAATGGAGACCCACAGCAGCACTGCAGTTATGACCTACAGGGTTTGCAAAACTCCATCTTCACTCTTGTACTTTCTGTACATGAGGAAAATTATCACCCTATGTTTATCTAAATAACCCAGTCTTAGCTAGTTAAAAAGGGAAGCAAGAGAAAATATAACCATATCGTCTAACCTCACTCCCACATGGTACAAAAAAGCAATGGGACATGTTGAGAGCACACTCAGGAATCAAAAAATTATCTGAGACACTAATTGCTTGATCTATCTGTCCACTTTGGTTGAGATGGCTAGGAAGGACTTCATTTGTGCTGGAAAGGGCCTAGGGTAGGAGGCAGGAAAATGGGATAAGCCACACGTAAAAGAAGGCTTCCTGCTTTTGTACCGTTATCTAGAATGTTTTGTGATTTATATAATAACTCAAGATAAGTTAATGGTACATTCAGTACCGGCATCTTCAAAGCGCAACTGGAGATGTGAAACATGTCCTGCCTCATTTACTAGGATTCTCAAATCTCTGATTACATGGTCTTATAAAAAGTATTCAATGAAATGCAGTCTGGGCAAGCCTGAATCTCACCAACAGCTAAAAAAAAAAAGTCCTTCCCCCTCTCCTCCCAGCTGAAGCGGAAACTGTTAATTGTACAACTTGACAAGACTTAGACTCATCTTATTAAAAGATTCAGAGGTTAAATTTTAGAGTTTAAAAAGTCCAATGCCAGGCAAAACATTACACTTTTCCATGCCTGAAGCTTCTAATAAACAATTTCAGTTTTATTAAACAAATGAGACTAAAAACAATAAAGAGCTTACCAAATTTCTCTCAATATGGTTAACACTAACTTTAAGAACTTAGGTAAAACATTAAGCTATATTTAAAATCAAGCAATCTACATCAGTCCTGGTGTATGTATCAAGTAAGCACAATAAAAAAAATGTAAGCAACTGGGAATAACTTGTAAAAAACTCATCTTATTTAGGTACAAATTGTTTCCATTCCCAAGAACAGAACAGGAAACTTGCAGAGATTTTTTCCCCCCTCCAGGTGAATTACAACTTATAGGATAAAAAGGATAAAACTCACAAACCCTTCCTACTGGTATTAGTCATTTCATAATAAAAAATTTAAAGCTAGCAGCAAAGCTTCCTCCAGGGTAATCATTTTTGTTTCTGCAACATTACAAGCTAAGATGGGGTGCCCTCCTGGACAAAAGTATCTTGGGAACGGTAACTGGAGCTTCCTACATACCTCTGACCACAGACTTAATTTGCCCAGTATCAATCATCTGTTTAATAGGTGTTCCAAAACCTGCAATTAGTGTAAATATACAATAGGTGCTAGTCCACAAACGGAGAGAAGGAATTTGAATGGAACTGTGTACAGTACTTAAGGAAAAACCTTATTAAAAAAAAAAATTTTTTTTTAAACAAGACAACATGAAAAAATGGGTGGGAACAAACAGACCCTCTCCTTCCCCCTCTCTCTGCAGCCTGTCTCCTTCCACAATCACCCGATTCAGTCAACTGTTGCTGAAAACCAGAATGAGACTCAATCTGGGTTCCCTGAGCAAATATGGGATTTTTTTGTGGCGGGCAGAGGTGATTTCTCCAGGTAGAAGCCGGAGTATAAACTCTCCTTGGCCTGATTGTTCAGGGCTGAGCTGCTGAGGAGGATCCAGCATCAGGCCATCAACCCAGGTCCCTCCCTCTCTTCCCCTGGTCTCTCCCCTCCCCTCGAGTTCAGTAAGGGGGTGGTGGTGCAGAAAAGCGCACAGCTTTCCACCCCTCCGCTCCTTAAAAATGCCCTTGCGGAGCCACCGCATACAATCCAGCCCCAGCAGCAAGTAAAGGGCTCGCCGATCCAGAGCGGATAAGAGAAATCGGCGCCCAAGGGCAATTTTAATTGTCTAACAGGGCCCGATTTCCTAAGAGGCGGCCGCACGGGGCGGGGAAGAAGGAGGCAGCTCCGAGAGGCAACAGGGGGCAGGCGGCTGCAGAGAAAAGGGACCAAAGCGGTGAGATCCCAGCCTCGGCCTCCGAGGAGCTTCCGCAGAAAGGACTCGGGGGCTAACCCCACTGTTCCCCGGGAGGCGTTTGCAAATCATATATGCAGCCAAAATGGCGCTGAGAATAAAAATATAATTTAAAGACAGGTCGCCATATTGTAAACAGAGAGACAGAGAAGAGGCGGACTCAAAGACACCCTCCATGATTCCTTCTACAGCCGCAAACGCCCGGACGTCGGGTCCCGGGCTCTGGACCCGGGCATCTCCGGCGGCCGAGGGTCCCGCGCACCCACCTCGGGGAGAGCCCGGCCCGGCCTGGCCCGAGCCCGAGGGCGGCGGGCGCGCGGGCGAGCGAGCGGCATAGGGCCCGGAGCTCCTCCCCTTCCTCCCGGCCCCGGCCAGCCGTGCCCGGCAGGATCAGTCCCCGCTCCCTGGCCACTTGCAGTCTCAGATGGGGTTCTCCCTTCTCCTCCCCATCCCCATCTCGGGGTCCCGACCCCATCGCCGCTGCTCCCCCGCAGACGGCCAGAGCCCCGCATACACCTGGGGCCAGGAGGCGCTCGCCCCAGCGGCGATAGAAAGTCATCTAGCGGCTGCAGGCGCCCGTTATTTGGCAGGCAGGGGGTAGGCCGGGTGAAGGAATGTGCCAACCAGGGCCCACCACGGGGCTCCAAAAGGCGTCCGCAGACCTTACCAGCACTGAAGGTGGAAGGCGGCAGGGCAATGGTCACAGCACAGGAGGTCGCCACCTTCTTTGCAGCTATCGCAGCTGTCGTGGTTGGTGGCCCTGCCGCTTCTCCGGGGCTCCTTCTCGGGCTTGCGACTCCGCTTTTCGGCCTCGTCCGTCTTGGGGGGTGCCAGCAGGGCTTGGATTTGCTGCACACACATACAAACGGCGTGTGTGCACACTCGGAGCTCCCGGGCTGTCCGTCGCCCCTCCGGCGCGGCTTCTCCGTCACCCACCCCTCTCCCCCCTTTTGTCCTTCTTCCTCCCATCCAGGCTGCTCCCAGAACCTCTCGGCCCCCCGGAACCAGGGGGAGCCCACCCCCTAACCGTGTCCCTGCAGCACAACAACGAGAGCAGCTTCTTCCAAATGGGGAGAATCAGGGTAGGGGGATGGGGCGAAGGGTGCGCGGTTCCCAGCTCGCCACACTTCCTTGTATGGACAGTGGGGGACTCCGAGCTCGGCTCTGGAGAGGCCTGAAGCCGGGTACCCGGACGTGCTGGGGGAAGCACAAAGGGGCCGACGAGAAGGGGGTGGGGAAGCCCGCCGGTGCAACGAGATGGGAGCGGGTTGGTGCCTCGGGAAGAGCAAATCGAGGGCGGCGGGTGGTGAAACTGCTGCAAACGTCCTCGGAGGCTGAGCTTGGCCCCCTCACATTGCAAAGATGGGAGAGTCTGGGTGGAAAGAACTCCCCTCCTCCTCCCCCCCGGCCCACTTGCGCTGCGAGCTCAGGACTGGCTTTGTGGGGCGGAGGGCGGAGGTTCCCTCCCGGCGTTGGGGGAAGGGGATGAGGAGGGCTACTCTTACCTCCATCAGCCCCCCTGACGTGTCCAAGTCGTACACGATCGTCTTGGTCTCCATTTTCTCCCACATTCATCCACCTCCCGGGCCGGGCGCTTTCTGCTCGGGCCCCCCCCAACCCCGGGGGGAGGGGGAAGCGGGAGGAGGGGGCGCTCCTGACCCCGGTCCCCTTCTTTTTTCTCAACACAGGTCCCGACTTCCTCGCCCTGGCTCCCCCCCACCCCCCGGCCCCCAGTCCCCGGGATGGCAGCGTCCTCCCTACGGGCCGTGAGGGGGGAGCGGCCCCTCAGCCCCGGCCCAGTGGCTGACTGCACGGTGGGTCCCGGCTCCGGGGGTCAGGCCTCGGTGGGGCCTAGTCCCGCAAGCTAGAGCCGGCGCTGGCGACCGCTGGTCCGGCAGGGAAGGCTGGCGGGCGCTGCCATCCCGGGGTTGGGGGATCGGAGGGGGGGTGAGAGGTTAGGTGAGGTTGTGGTACGTGAGGTGACTGCGGGGAGGGTGATGAGGGGTGGTCCCCGGGCTCCGCCTCTCGCCGCCGCCGCCGTCTGCGTCCCGGCTGCCGCGCACTTGGCGCAAACTTACCGCGAGCGCCCGCAAAGCCACCCGCGCAGGCGCCCGGGGATCGCTGCTCGCCGCGCGCAACCGCAGTGACAGCCGGCGGCCGGGCTCCGGCGCAGCCGCAATGAGGGGGTACCCCCCAGCGCGCAGCCGCGCTGGCATTCTTCTGAAGCGCCGAAACCCTGGCTTTTTCCCCCCTGCGCCTGCGCACTGAGATAAAAGGGCGGGACCTGAGGTATCGCGCAGGCGCCTGGGAGCGCGCGTAAGGGTCACAGCGCAGCCGCAGAAACATGAGCACGGTTCATCCATTGGGGTTTGTAGCTGGACCAAGAATACTCTGTTCCTGCGCAGGCGTGTTCAGGCTGTTCCTCTCCCGCCTGCAACAGCACAGCCAGCGCTCACGCAGGCGTATTGTCACCTGCGGGCCCTAACAAGAATGCTTCTCCTTTCGCCATGTTGGTAATGGGACATAGACTATCATGTCCTTGGAATCCTCAGGCATGCACAGGAAGGATAAGATGTGGTGCTGGCTGGAGCTGGAAGGCTGTTGGTGACAGCAGTACACCTAGGGATGTTGCGCTGGACTGTTTGGTCCCAGCGTCAGGTGTGGCTGGACCAGGCGCCATATTCGTAAAGAGAAAAGAAAAGCCATCGCGACGGAAAACGATGCTTTTGGTGTCGGGTTGGATGGCTCCTGTTATCACTTCCCTCCCGTTCCCCACAGCTAATTTTAGTCTCAGCATCTCTGCCTTGCATAGTGGTAACACCATGGGGAATTTCGCATGCCTGTTAGTACACTCTTTTGATCCCTGTCCCTCAGAAATGCTCTTAAAGAGAAAGCCAAAAGCCAAGAGTTTATGATGTTGACAACGCCCAGCTACCTGCCTACAGTGGACTTCAGCTCCCAGTTTGCAATGCGCAAGGGGTCCAAAAGGCTAACGGGAGCGCATTGCACCCTGGGAGAAAGGTTTGCGATGGCTCTGGTGGATTGTGGGAGCCGTAGTTCTGTGTGCGTGCGATGCACTGTATGGTAGGATGAACTCGGGGAAGAGTGATTTGCCTTCTAGGAAGGACTTCTTTTGGCAGCTGCAGTTCTGTATGCTGGATTATTCGTAGTCTGAAAGCCTTATTTTGAGTTCTGTGAAAAGGGCTTCATGCTACGTCTCCGGTGCCCGCCCCTCCTCCTGGTATTTCTTTCAGAGATGGCCAGTTATCCTGTCGACTGTAGATGAAGCGGTGAAGAAGGGAGTGGCAGCATTGTGTTTGACACTAGGAGTTTAGATGGCACTGTGAATGCTCAGGTCGCTGTGAATGCTCACTGCGGAGATATACTGACCGTTGCCAGAAGCGGAGTACTGGAAAGGGCTTAAAGACCATCTGTATTAATCCCCTAATTTCCATATGCACAGAAGGGAGTAGTGATTTGCTTAGTTCAGTTTATGGAATGACACAGCTTTCTTGATTCCCAGGCCAGCACACTGCTTGTAAGGAGTTGCTGCTGTTCCTTCTTTTAAAATAGTAAGGAGGATGAGTTAGATGGGTTGGTATGTCAGTGTGTGGTCTTTGGTTTCTGATGATCCTCTTGGTGCCTGGGAAGAATTATAAGGTCATGGGCTTTATCATTGCTCTCTACCAACTTCAGAAAGCCAATTATAGTGGCTGTGGGCCAGAGATATGGCCCTCAGAGAGAGGAGGGCTGAGTTAGATGCATGGAAGTGGCCAGATTTCATCTTTTCTGGGGATATATTTCATGTCCTCAGAAGTTAGAGCCTCATATGCTCTCTCTTACTGGATTCCTTCCTACTGCTCAGGACCTAGTTGTGTTGCTGTGTCAGTTTGAAGGCATTATGGGACAGATAAGTAAACCACTGGCACAAGCCCAATAAGCAAAGCTTTACTTTGATCAACACCATCATTTGCAGTTGAGAATTGGAACAGGCTGTGAGCTAATGAGGGAAATGATACTTGTCTCTGTTGACAAGTGCCAGTAGAAATAATCACTCCACACTCTTCCACCTCCTGTTCTTCCTCCTCCTACTTTTTTGTTAATTCTCATCCGAGTATATTTTTCCCATTGCTTTTTAGAGAGAGTGGAAAGAAGGGAGGGAGGAGTGGGAGAGAGAGAAAAACATTGATGTGAGAGAGACATATTGCTTGGTTGCTTCCTGCGTGCAGGGAATCAAACCTACAACCCATGTAGGTGCCCTTGACTGGGAATCGAACCCATGCCCCTTCAGTGCGCAGGTGGATGCTCTAACCAATGAGCAACACTGGATAGGGACACAGACCTTCTTCTTTGAACTTGGAGGAAGTGAGGTCAGCCCAACCCAGCCAGGAGTTGGTGCCACCTTGGAGAACTCCAGCCATGGTTATTCAAGGAGGATTGAGGGGAGAGAGAGCAGGTGGGATACAGATACCTTCAGAAGTGACCTCTTTTGGCTAATCTAGGCACTGCACTCTGCCTGGACAGCTACTCCATTCTTCAAGATGGCCTGTGCTAGAGCCAAAAGGTGGTCAGCCATAAGTGGTTAAGACTTCTCTTTTGGAAGACTGTAGAAGCAGAAGGTGCTGGTTGCTGTTGTTATTTCCTTCAGAGATTTGTCTTTTGGTTTCTGAGTTCCCCTAATTCCCTGATGCTTGTTTTTTTGCTCTTATTCTGGAGACAGCCATGCAGAGCACACACTAAGTATGGACGTGCGTGCTGTGGATCAAGGCTGGGCAAACCCTTTCATTTCAGGAGGTGCTTGGGGCCACAGGTAATGGGCACAGGGGCTGGAAGGGACCAAACTTGGCTAACTTAAGCAGATCCCATCCAGCCACTTCTTTCTGGAGTCTGGGGCTTTTGCTAAAGTAGGAGCCAAACCTCAAAGCTGCATTGTTCCTGCTGCTGACAGTCTGGATGTTTTCTGAGGCCAAGGCAGACTAGAGCCTCATGTTTAGGAGTTGTCTCTGGTTCCTGTTCCAATTTCCTAAGTCTTGCTAGCTGGGAAAGAAGAGGAAGAAGAGATGTATGGGTCAGGCTTCCTGAGCCTTGTCAGCAATACAGTGACATTGAGAAGGGGCTTGGGTGTTTGCTGCCCTGTAGTTCTAGACCTGGAAAAGAGGGGGAATGAGGCTTTGAGGTGGATGAACAATTGGGTTCTTGGATTCTCACACTTGGACTTCATATTTCACTGTCATCTATTGCACTGACCTTGTTGGGACAGTGAACTCTGTAGCACCTATAATTGTTTATATATGTATTGATTTCAGAGAGGAAGAGAGAGGGAGAAACACCAACAATGAGAGAGAATTATTGTCTCCTGCACATCCCCACACAAGGGATTGAGTCCGCAATCCGGGCATATTCTCCGACCGGGAACTGAACGGTGACTTCCAGGTTTAGAGATTGATGCGTAACCACTGAACCATATCAGCCAGGATTATTAGTTGCTGTCCAGCATGCCTTATGTTCCTGAAGCCCACATCCCATTCATCTCCCACCTCCTTTCCCTTCAAAAAAGCACCATCCACATGGCCATTGCTTTTTTTTTTTTTTTTTCCAAAACACCATTTTAATAAGGAAACAACAGAAATAGAAGATTATTTTCTGGCTGGCAGCCAGAATGCATATGATACATTACATATACAAAGTGGCCTATAACCAGCTCCTGGGCCGCTGACCCCCTGCTCCGTGCCAAATTCCTCGACCCTTAGACTTCCACACCTCTCCAGATTATGCCTGCCCACTCCCCTTACCCCAAAATGGTGACCAGGGGGAGAGTCTGGCAAGTGGTTGGAGTTGGAGAAGGGATTCATGGGAAAGGGGATGTTTAACAGCCAGACTGGCCATCAGGAGGAGGGCTTTCTCTCCTCAGGGTAGGGGAGCAAGGGGGCTTCCTGATTTGGTGTGGAGCATGAGTAGCCAAGGAACCCCAGCCTTAGCTTGGGTAAGGTCTCTAAGCCCCACACGATCCCCTAGAATTGTTGCCTCCACTGGGAAGGGACAGGGGGCAGAATTGTCCATTCCTGGGGCTTTAGAGAAGGACTAGTGGCTTTCTCAATTGGCAGACATTGGCATGGGCCGGGACCACCCAGAGGTCACTATTGAGAGCAGTTTTGGCCACTGGTGCTGGCCCTGTGAGGAGCACCGTGGCGCAGTTTCTGCCATCATCACGTTCACGCCGCTGCACAGTGCTCTATGCCAGGGCTGGACGGTGGTCACGTGGAGAAAGGCGCTTCCATTCTGCCTCTGAATTCCAGGCTCGAGGTGCAGGACGTGAAGGAGGGTCAGGCGAAATGCTGGTTCTTGATGCATATGCTCCAGCTGTGTTCTGCCCAAAGGCAGATGCCCCCTTACTTGGACCCAAGGAAGGGCCCTCTTGGGCAGTGGTACCAAGAAAATAGGTCCTGGTGGGCATTGCAGGTGGGGAAGGGCACAACTTCGTGACAGATTAGTGGTGTCTCTTCCCAGGTGGTATGTACAGGAGGTGGAGGGACGGCAGGAAGCTGGGGGCTCCGCTGCTGGGCTGTGCTGCAGGGCTGAGCTGGCTTCCCTGCACCTAGATGGACACTTCATATTCTCTCGTCTCCTGCAAAGGAAAGAGACTGCTGGGAGTTGGAAACTTGCATAAAGTTTGCCAGCCCGCAGTCCACCTTCCCGAGGAAAAGCAAAAGAGCAAGAGGACTGGATAGGGCCCTCAGGGGTACCTGCCCAGGGGAGCATAGCATCGGATGCTGGAGAGGGTGTCAGGGCTGGCCTGGGTACTTACTCCAGTCTCGTAGGTTGGGTTGTCAAATGCTGACTCCACGGTGATCCGGTCATAGGCGCGGGGTCGTGTTCTGGGCAGCTGCATGGGGTTTTTCCCCTGGAGCCTGTGGGACAGAGAAGCCTGTGTGTAGAGTGTGGGGCAGGAGTGAGGCAGGTGTGCAGGATGGGAATGGGAGCCAGACTCACCTGCAAAAGTAGAGGTACACACCTCCCACCAAGAGCGCCATTGCTACCAGTGGCAGGAAGATGGCAGCTGCCATGTGGGCAGCATCCAGGGTGCTGGAGGCAGCAGGTGCCTTGGCAACTGAAAGCGCAGAGGGTGGGATTGGAGCAGAGGTCCCGGTCACTTAGAGCCCACAGCCCTGTCCTCTGCCCAGGGAAATCCAGCCAACAGCTCCTTCTTTTCCCCCTGCTAGTCCCAGACCTCTCTCTTTTCCAATCCACTCTCCTTGGGGAACCCAATGGCCTGGGATCTATGAGAACCAGCGGAAGAGACTACTTCCCTGGCCCTCGAGCGTGGGGGCTCACCATCCAGGCTGCGACCACTGTAGAACCCATCCAGAGAGGCTGGAACAAGAGGGGAGGGCCAAGGGCAGTGATTGAGTCCAACAGGCCTAACCACTAAGGCAGAGAGTGGGCTGGTCATGGGAAGGCTTTGTCCAAGGAGAGCCCACCCCAGCATTTGTCTTGGTGTCACCAGGTCAGGAAGATCGGGCAGAGACTGGGGAGACCAAGGGTAATATGAAGGGAGAGTGGGCAGTGGGTTCTGGTTCTCAACATTTGACAACTTTGCCAGAGCAGCCCTATGGGCCAGGCAGGGGGACTTAGGAGGGCAGGTCACTCACCAGCCCTGCAGATGGGTGGGGGGTCACTCCAGTGTGAGGGGTTCCCAGGTACACACTTGATGCTGGCCTGGCCCTTCAGCACGTAGCCAGGGGCACATGAGAAGTGGACAGTAGCCCCCACTGGGTGTAGCCGCTTTTCAGGACTGCAGGCACCATTCTCGGGGGCACTGAGGCTGTGGCATGGCTTGAGCTGTTCCACTGCAAAGCAGGCGGAGCCTAGTGAGGGTGCCAAGCCCCTAGCCTCCGGGAGGCAGCATCTTTTATCACCTACCAGAGGCTTCCCCTCCTACCCATGTGACACTTACGGAGACATTTGGGGGCCCGGTCGCTCCACTTGGGGCTGCTGGCTTGGCGGTCATGGCAGGTGAGGATGGCACTGCCCGTCAGCACGAAACCCTGGTCACAGATATACTGCACCGTGGCTCCCACGGGGAACTTGGGGCTAGATACGAGGCGTCGGCTGTGCTCCACATCCCCAGGGTCATGGCAGGAAGTTACTAGGGGTGTGTGGGGGAAGGGGGAGGGGGAGGAAGTAGCTCAAGAAGAACTCAGCAAAAGCCAGTCCTTCGGGGCTTTGTGCCAGGCGGCCACCATCTTCATGCCAGGTAGCTTCACCCTCCAGTTATCTGTCACTACCGTTTTTGCTTGTGGGGCCCCACCTCTGTCCCCTTCCAATCCATGAGAATCAACAGACACTGATTGATGGAATTTAATTAACAAAATAAACTGATGAGCAGAGAGGATCCAGAGATGTGGAAGCAAGGAACAGAGTGAGGAGTCTCGGAGGGAAGGTGGAGGAGATGATCAAGCAAGCAACTTGGATGCATATATGCTTAACTCTTGGACACAGACAATAAGGTGGTGAAGGCCTGGGGTGCGGGGAGGGGTGGGTTGGAAGGAGTCAATGGGGGGGGGGAAAGGGGGACATATGTAATACTTTCAACAATGAAGATTAAAACAATGACAACAAACACTGATTGGCCAGCTACCAGGAACGAAATACTTGGAGTACTTTGTAGATAACTCTATGGAAAGGTATTGTCCCATTTCACAGATGAGGAAACTGAGGCTATGAGAGGTGGAAGAACTTCAAGGATACCAGCTGATAACAGTTGGAGTCTGGTTCACAGTCCGAGAGAGAGGCTTGTAGTTGCATTGGGAGGAGCATGTGGGGAACAGGTACACTCACCCCTTTGGCAGGAGGGCAGGTCCTCACTCCAGGTTAGGTCCCACTGGCACATAAGGATACTGGATCCCACCACCTGGTAGCCAGGGTAGCACTGGTAAGTGACGACAGTGCCGTGCACCAGCTCAGGCTGTGACGGGCTCTTCCAGCCATTGGGGATCTCAGGCAGCTCTGGACATGTGTCATTGCGGGCCACCTCTAGGGGCACAGGGGCAAAAGATGTAGACCCTCCGCCAGTCCCAGAGTGCTGGCCTCCCTCCTCCTGAGGACACTCGACTCCTGCCACTCTGTCCTGGGCTTGGCCTGGGCTGGCTCAGTGACTCACTCTCCCCACTCAAGTGCCCCTCCTTCCTCATCCCTGACATGACTGTCTCCTTGATTCCTGGTTTATCACCTTGGCTTTGACCTTAGCTCCAAATACTTGTTGGCCAGTTTCTCGGTCCTGAGAGATGGGCCGGGTAAAGTGGGAAAATTGTTACTTCTATTAAAGAGGATCAGAAAGGTAGAATGGAATACTTTCCCTATTTTTGTTAGGAAGTTCTGCCTGCTGCCCACCCAATCCCTCTTGCTGCAACAGAAGGACCCTTTCTCCCACGGGGCCTTCGGGGAAGACGGAGAGCAAGGCTAACTTCAGGTGACGCCCAGAATACTTTGAGCTTTGCCCTGTCAGACAACAGCATTCAGGCTCCTCATCACCCTGGCCTCTCTGAATTGCATGTTTTGGGGTCTGCATTCTAGCATCCCTCCTCCCTCAGGCACAGGGTGGGGCAAAGGCAAACTCACCAAAGAAGTGGATGACGAAGCCCTGCTGGTAGCCCAGCACCGAGGTCCCAGGGTCTGACTGGAACTGGATGGTGACATCGGCCATGGAGGTAAAGAGCTTGAAGTGGCCTCGGGGCCCAGAATACTGGCCCAGAACCCGGGCTGTCAGGTCATCCCCGTCATAGAAGGTAAGTACATCACCAGGGCCTATGCGCAGCCTATGGAGTAGGACTGTCAGGGAGGGCGGGCCTGGGGGCCCCAGGATGGGCTGGGCAAGAGATGTCTCCGTGGCTTAGGAGCTGGCGTGGCCGAGCCCAGTGGGCACTTACACTCGGACGTCCAGCATGATGCGCTTGTCCTCCTCCACATGCACGCCCCAGATGCAGTCTTGCCCTCGGCCATAGGGCTCCGGCCAGTTGGGGGAGAGCACCACACCGGCTGAGTCTGTGATCTCCCCACTGCACACAGCTGGAAGGCAAGGGAGGCCCGGGAGGCACGTCCCCTCCACATCCCTCCACCCCAGTACCATGTCCTGGAGCTGCCATCTGCCCACAGGAGTGCCTACCCATTGCTGGGAGTCCCCACCGTTCCCGCGGGGAAGCTTGAATGACACATCCCTGGGACCCTGTGGCCCCAGGTTCTGTGGCTGGCTCCCCAGTGCCCACCCTGCTCCCTGCCCATGGCAGGCCCATCTCTGCTTGTGCCTACTGACCTCGGCAGGCTGGCTCTGTCTCATTCCACTGAGGGTCATGGGGGTCAACACACTCAATGATGATGGAGCCTTGCTCTAGGGTATAGCCAGGGTCGCAGCTGAATTCCACGGTGGTGCCCACAGGGTAGGAGGGCGCACTGCTGCTGAAGTTGCCGTATTTGACAAAGGGCTCATAGCAATGGCCCTGCTGGAAGGCTGCAAACATAGGGCCCAGCTCAGCCTTCACTGGGACAAACGGGGCAAATGTCCTCTTACTTCCCTTCCTTGGGCTTTCCCCATCCTGACTACAAATGTCTATTCTGGACTTGGAGAAGGGGGCAGGAACAGCCCAGAGCACCCATCCCTATTATGCTCACGAGGCTTTCTTGATCACTGTTATATTTCTAGCACCTAATTTTGTGCTTAGTACATAGAAGGCACTCAAGCTTTGAATGCATGCATGCATGCATGCATGCATGAGTAGTTCTAGAATGTCTCGTAGCAATTCTCCTTCCCCAAGAATTGGGTCTTTTTTGCTCTTAAAATTTTAGAGAATTCATTCACTTGGACCAGAGGGCCTGGGTCCAGGCAGGAGTCTCCTGCAGATGGGGTAGGAATCCTGGACTTGAAGGAAGGGATGAAGACAGAGAGGGCCTTGGTGCCAGGTGAGCAAGGGCTGAGTTGGAAGGAGGTGATGATGGCATGGAGGGGGAAGGTACGAGAGAAGAGACCCTGGGCCCAAACCCCCACTTTAGCCCCTTACCCCTGGGTAGGCCCCATCAGGCTCACCCTCATAGCGCAGGGCCATGCCTGCAGCTGCCCCGCTGCTGTCGGTGCTGAGCTCCACGAAGAAGTGTCTGCCGGAGCTGAGCAGGCCCTCAATGGGCAGGTACTCCACCTCGTAGGAATCATACAGGGGCGGGGCCTCCACGTTGTCCCCATTGCGGATGATGAGCCTGGGTCAGTAGAGTGGCAGCTGTGTGGCTGGTTGCTGACCCGTGTGGGGTGTGACCCGTGTGGGGTGTGACCCATGCTTGTGTACTACTGTCCCTCCAGAAGGGTATTACCAAGCCAGGTGCTCCCCTCCCTCCAGGACATCCCCTCACCGGTCGTCATCCTCTGCCAGGGAAACCTTCTCAAAGTGCAAGTGCAGCCGCTGGCTCTCCGGAGCCTCCAGCAGCCAGTGGCAGGTGAGGTTGTTGCTATAGTTGCCCGGGAAGCCAGGCGAGACGATGCGGCCGGTGGTGGCATTGCGGATCACTCCGCCACAGGCAGCTGGGAGACAAGGCCAGAACTGTGGGCACGGCCCCTGGCTGGATCCCTGGCAGCCTACCAAGCCTTCCTGCTTTCCCCAGCTCCGTGCCCTGTGCATGGGGCAGCAGCCATCTTTGCCCTCGTGGTGCTGAAGGTCAATCCTTTGCCCCTGTAACCCTGCAGCTCCAGGCAGCCTGGACTCTGAAATCTGCATCCTAACCGTTCACATCTCTGGGACTATCCATATACAACTCTCTGGAATGTGGTAGCTCTGCCATGGCCTGGCTGTGTGGCCCTGGGTGAGTCACTTTCCTTCTCTGCTAACTCCTCCGGGAGGCCTTCCCTGACTGCCCCCAGGTGGACTTTATGAAAGCCTCTTACCCAGGCTCCAACCTTCTTGGAGCCACTTCCTAAAACCAGTTACTGTTTGGGTATCTAGGATCCCCTGGGGGAGGGGCCCGTCTTCTCAGGCCAGGCACAGAGTTGGTATTCAGTATTTGTTGAATCAAATGATTGAATCAGTGTAAACAGGGGGGTAGGACTAGATCAGAGATGACAAACATGGTGTGCATGCCATTCACCTCCAAATTCTGTGCCCTGAGTAGACACGACTAGTCAGGTGATGGCCTCGAACACTTTCTGAAATAGCATCACTGCCACCGTCATTCCTGGGCTGACTCCCAAGGGCCTTTCCAGCACTGCCTCCTCCGGCCTGGGATTGTCCTCTTTGGCAAGGAGCGGCTGAGCAGCTCACTTGTTCCCATCCCCAAGGACTGCTCAGTGCCTTGGCCATAGACGCCCAGCTGCCAAGAGAGGCCAGTGAAGGGGTCTCAGGCCAGAGGAGCGTGGCTGGTTCAGGCAGCACTTTCCTCTCCCGGACAGAGCACTTCGGACCCTGCCTCTGCCAAGACACAGGGCCTTGGTCTCTAAATGTTCAAGACAGCAGAGTGCTCTCACTGAGTAGGCCGCCTGGAGAGGGGGTTGTGGTGAGGGTCTCCTCTGCTTCTCTGCAGAGAGGGCACAGCTACCTTTTGCTTGCTCTTTGAATAGAAGGCCCTTCCCATCTGACCGTGCCCCGCCCTACACTTACATTCCTCTGTGGCTCCCCGTGACCCCGGGACAGAGGCTAAGCTAAGATGACATTCAGCCCTTAATGAAGCTGATCTCTGGACTTGGCCTCAGCCTCTCCTTATTCCCCCCTTCTTTAGGCACAGCTCACCAAGTCCTCCCTGTAGCACGCCGCTGCGTCCCTCCTCACCCCTGCACGTGCTGCCCCAGGAATCCACCCCTCCTCCCAGGCTAACATTCTTGTCATCCTTCCATGCCACTTCCTTGAGAAGCTTGCTTCGACTCCTTCCTCATTTTGGAGAAGCCTGCCCTCCCGTGGGTCCCCTCCGCTCTCTACTTTGTCCCATCCCAGCTGTGTCTGCCCTGAACATGCCAAGCTGCTTGCTGGTCTCACTGGACAGCCCATGCCTGGCTCACTCACCTCTGCTTATGCCAGGAAGAGTGTATAGAAGGAAATAAGGTTCAAAAGCCCAAGCTAAGAAACAAAAAAGGAAAAGAGCCCAACTGCCTTTTATATTGCAAACTAAACACTCCATCTTTTTCCTGCCAGCAGCACTTGGGAGTCACTCCTTGCACTCCCACCCTTTCTCTCATCTGTGTCTCTGGAATCTCTTCCCTACTCTTTATTTCCAAAGTCACTAAGTTCAAACCCGCTTGCCTGGCTGGCCATCCAGCCTCTGGACACCACCTGATTGGCTTTCCCAGGGAATAGTTCTGAGCTCCTCTCTCCTCCTCTCCAAAACCTTAAACAGCTCCCACCCTAGCTATTGGGCTGATATTCAAGGCGCTCCGCTCCTTCTGTCTTCACAAGCCTCAGGCCTCAAACACTCTCTTCACTCTCCTCTGTATCACTGTCCACTGAAATGTCAGACCTTCAGTGCCATTTGTCAATGCCCAGCTAAGAGTGGCTGCTCTCTCTCCTTCCAGGTCACGTCTGTCTCTTCATTGGTATTTTTTACTTCCTGCTGTGAGAGTTGATGACTCACATGCTTTCTTCTTCCCCCATTTCCTGGAAGGGTGGCTCGTTGAGGGCACGCTCCCTGCTGAATTCCGGTCTCTCTACCTGTGGTGCCTCTATAGAGTAGGTGCTCGCTAAGTGTGGGTTGGATGATTTCCAATGGCACGTGAAACCATTTTCTGGCCTCCTTATGGGGAGCCTGTGACGGTACTACGTAGCAACAGAGCACAGAGCTGAGCCCACCCCCCCTCCGTCTCACACCCCCGTTCAGCACTGAGTCCTCTGGGGCCACTCACCAATGCAGATGGGCTCCCGGGAATCCCAGAAGGGCCGAGTGGCGTTGAGACAGGTAAGGAGCCTGGCACCCTTCAGCTGGTAGCCAGTGGCACAATGGAAGCGGGCACTGCCTCCTGGATGGAGGCTAGTGACGGTCACAGCTCCGTAAGCTGGACGTCGGGGAAAGTGGCAGCTCAGGAGATAGGCTGCAGAGAAAGATTGGGTGACATTGTGTGTGTGTGTGTGTGTTTGTGTTGAGGGGTTGTTGGGTCCCAGCCAGGGCAAAAGGGGTCGGCGCCAGCCTGCCTGGTGGTGTCACTTGGGGCCAGAGGAAGCATCAGGAGTTTCCGGAAAAGAGACTGACCCCTCCCCCAGCAGCTTGGGCTCCGTGGCGTGGGCTATGGTCCGAGGTTCCTAACACTCAGGCAGTTACCTGGCCTATCGGTGCCACAGTGTCCTCATTTGTTAGCTGAGGTGAAAGCCCACCTACGGGGTTATTGTGAGAATAAATGGGGTAGTGTTTTATTCAGTTTGGCATCCCCGGAATCCAGCTGGTCGTACATCTTCAAAAAATATTACTGAAAGACTTGAAGGCGTGAAAGCATTGAAACAGTGAAAAGCCTATACTAATGTATTTATATTATTTTTTTCCCATCGGGGACAAATATGAATGGCAGCAGGAAAGACTGAAGCCAGACAGTAAAAACTTTCCCAGTGTTCACTGAGAAATGCTAAAAAGTTCAGTGGCAAGGTGGTGCGCTTTTTTTTAAAAAAAACAGGATAGGCAAGGGTGAGGAGGTAAGGCACGCCTTCCAGGAAGTTGGGGGTGGGACAAGGTGCCCTAGGAAACGTGGTAGCTTTTAGATTTGTCATACCAAATACAACCAAATGGTGGCAGCAAATCCTACAGAACAATCTGGTCAATTCCAACTTGGGGCCAAGCTGGGGTGGTAGCTAAAATGGGGGTCAGGGCTTGGGTCTGAGGTGGGGAGGGAGATCTGGAGGGGTCAAGGAGAGAGGCTAAAAGGAAAGCCTTGGGCTACAGAGTCTGCAGACCCCTGAGGGGCGGGGGAAGGGATGGGGACTGACCACTCCTGGGTCTTGGGATGGGAGGGTGACCCTACTGATGGCACCAGGTAGATGGAAAGAGGGGTCCAGGCAGGGACTCCGCTAGCCTCTGTGGGCCTTTGTGTGAATAGGAAAAGGGGCTGCCTCTGGGCTGACCAGGGTCCAGAATCAAGTTTAATGATTTTTTTTTTTTCACCTGTTCTGGCCTTAGGTCTTGAAAGGGGGAGGATGATACCTACTCTTCCCTCTCTCACAGGGTTCCTTTAAAAAAAATTTTTTTTTATTGATTTCAGAGAGGAAAAGAGGAGAGGAAGAGAGAGATAGAAACATCAATGATAAAGGAGAATCATTGATCGGTTGCCTCCTGCATACCCCACACTGGGGATCCAGCCCACAACCCAGGCATGTGCCCTGACCAGGAATCGAACCCTGACCTCTTGGTTTCCAGGTCAATGCTTAACCACTGAACCATGCTGGCTGGGCTTTCAAAGGGTTCTTAAGAGAATGGCCAATGATTGGTTACTTGTGATTGGCAGACAGTACAGGGCAGGGCTTAGGAAGTGGGCTCTGAGGTCAGACGGCCTGGATTTGAACCTAGGCTCCACACTTGCTGTGCCACCTTGGGCAAGTTACCTAACTTCTCTGTGCCCGTTTCCTTGTGTGTCCATCCATTTAGAATATTACATACAATGTTGTTTCATGAGAAGTTATATGAGAGGACAGATGTGCAGTGCCTGGCACAGAACAAATACTGAACACACCAGCCTGCTGTTGTTTATAATCTTGATTCATAAAAACACCTCACATTGGCATTCACCTTCCAGCTCCTAAAATATCTTCATACTCTTCTTACTTGATGTCTACAACATGCTTAGGAGGAAGGCAGGCAAGGTAGGGGTACTAATCCGTTTTCAGCTGAGGGAAACTGAGGGGCTTGCCCTGATCACACGGCCCATAAGGGGTAGAGTGGGCCCTTGAGGCTCCTGGCTGTAGAGCCCACTTGCTTTGCATCTCCCCTCTCCCACCTGCTTCCTCTGGCTAAGGAGTCAGGGAAACGGAGACCTGGGCTTAGGAGTCAGGGAAACCTGAGCGGCTGTTCAGGGCAGCCACTCACAATGATGTGGGAAGAAACTCTAGGCCAGGGTAGGCTGGGGAAAAGGGTGTGGGGCGCTTTACCCAGAGCGGAGGGCATGGTACTCGGGGAGTTCTAGGCCATGAGCCAGAGGTCATGCTCATCACTTACATCTTCTCTGTGAGTTCTTGTCACAACTCTGGGAAGGGAGGGCCCCCTGTCTCACAGATTAGGAAACTGGGCTGGGATGAGGTGAGAGCAGGATGCTGGGGGCGGATGACAAAGCCCCCGGACTTCACAGTGGGTAAAGTGCCACTTTGCAGGACGAGCTTCCTCCTGTTGCCATGACGACGGCTCCTGGAGTGCCTGCACCACTGCAATCTGTTGAGCTATTTTCTCCCTGGTGTCTGTTTCTGGAGCCAAGTCCGGTGCCAGGAATGCTCAGGAGGGAGGAGGGGGATGCCTGGCAGGGCTCCCTGCCTGCTCACCCTGCCTGAGGCTGTGGGAGGGGAGCTGGGACGTGGTTCTGCAGTGGAGGCCTTTGTGGGGCCCCATCTCTGTGATCTCCCAATATTATCTTGGACAGGTCCAGCAGGAGTGTTGGTACGGGGTCCCTTACCCCCTCTGCTGGCACCCTCTTTCTCCAGCCCAGGGAGACACGCGTGTGAGCACATGCTCTTCCTGTTCCCATCTCTGGGATCAGGGCTAATTACAGTCTATAATTAGGGGAATTACACTCATTAGGGAAAGAGCTGATCATTGACAAAAACTGGGCTGAGGAGGGAGGGCTTCTGGGAGCTGAGAAGGAGGCAGCACTGGGCTAGCTCTCCCAGCCCCTCCGTGGGTCTGCTCCCCCAGCAGGGCCTCCAACTTGCTGCCTTTCAGCCACCTTTGGCCCAACAGAGAGGAGGTCCGGGGTTTTTGCGCAAAGGAATTTGCAGCAAGAGAGTAGGTTACCATGGCGTGAAATTATGCCTGCTGTTTAGGAGGATTGATGAGCCATTAGGGAGGCTGACTGGGCCTCCTAGATGCTCACCCTTTCCTCAGCTGGCCTCTTGCTTCTGCCAAGCCCCTGGCCAGCCCCACCACCAAACCCCTGCTGCCACGCCAGGCTGTTCTCCCAGTTTGGGTGGTCAAGTCCGGAAGAGGTGAGTGCTCCTCAGGTGGGCTCCAAGCGTCTGCATCTTCAGAGGAGGGCCTGCCCTCCTCCCTCGGCTGCGGCCCCCCACAGGGCCAAGGAAGTGGTCCGTGACAATTCAAAGCAATCCTGTAACTGTTCACACCAATTATTTCCCCATTAGCATGCCCCAATCTAAACCAGCTATCCTGCTGCAACAGCACAAGAGATCAAGAAGACTTTGTCTTGCCGAAACCGGTTTGGCTCAGTGGATAGACCATCAGCCTGTGGACTGAAAGGTCCCGGGTTCGATTCCGGTCAAGGGCACGTACCTTGGTTGCAGGCACATCCTCCGTAGGGGGTGTGCAAGAGGCAGCTGATCTCTCTCTTCCTCTCTGTAAAAAATCAATAAAATATATTAAAAAAGAAAAAAAGACTTTGCCTGGGGAAGAGGGTGCAGGGAGGGATGCCGCTGGGAAGGGGTACAGTTCCAAGCCCCTTCTCCCTTTCCATCCTGCTAGCTCTTTAAAATGTTTCTGGTTCCTTCGTGGAGCGTGTGCTAAGCACTGGACATGCACCGTTTTTTGTTTAATCTTTATCACTGACTTTAACGTGGAGCTTTTTGTTCTCATCTCACAACAGAGGAAAAGGAAAGTTGAAAAGGTCCTGTCCAAGGTCAATAGCCAGCGGGGAAGAGATTCAAACACAGATCTGCCTGGTCTGTGATGTCACCATTACACAATGCCACTTCTCTATTTCCTCACAGTAATCTCGTGAGATGGGACCTGAAGTTCAGGGATAGTAAGCAAGTTCTCTAAGCTCACACAGAGATTATTAGCAGAATTAAGATTTGTAAGCATGTTTGTCTCAATGGTCTTTCCAGTTCTGAGCTGACTGGGGCATGGGCCAGGGCTAGGATGGGTTATACAGCTCAGGAAGGCCAGGCCAGTAGCTAAGCACTTCCACATGGTCCCTGACCTTGACCCCTTTGCATTTTGGGAAAGCTTATAATGTTATTGCCTTTTTAAGTGTCTGCCTCCCCAGAGATTTATAACTCCTTGAGGGCAAGGGCTTGGCTGGTTCATCTCGATATTGCCAGGCTTGGCAAAGAGTTGATTCCTAGGAAAAGTATAATGAATGAATTAATAAATGAATGAATGAATGAGTGGCAGTACGCACACCTGGGGGTTATGAGATCCTGTGTTAGTTTCCCTTCCAGACCACTTCTCTGCAGGTGGAGGAGGAAAGGTTCTGGAAGGGTCAGATGTGCAATACTCACCTCCAATTGTGTGCAGCTTCACCAGGCGTCTGTGCTGTATGTTACTAGCCTCTCCCTGTTCCCCATGCCCCCATGCTGTCATAGCACCAGAGACCCCAGGAAGGCAGCCAGTCTGGACTGGTTCTTCCTCTGCTGCCTGGGCCTACCTTGGTAGTGGAAATGGAATGTGCCAGGCCCTGCAGGTGGTGGGAGGCTCTGGAACCTCAGGGCTGCTTGGTGGGTGGGGCTTCGGATGACTTGGCCCCTCAGCAGGAAGGACTGGTTGGCCAGAAGCAGTGGGTCAGGTCCCCCCAAGCCCTCCACAGTCACCGTCTCCCCTTCCCGCAGGCTGATGTTCCGGACCTGCCGATGGAAGAGACAGCAAAGCAGAGCAGTCAGGCTTTGTCCTGCTGAGTCTTACTGCCTGTGGGTTCCTGCAGGCCCTGGGCCTGGCCAATCCTCAGTGTTCCTTGGGCATTGGTGCCCCCAGGCTCTGAGTTGGGCACTTTAGTGAAGAAGGAGTAATCTTCTCAGTAATCTTGTGGGGTGGGATCTGAAGTTCAGAGATAGTAAGCAAGTTATCCAAGGTCACACAGAGATTATTAGCAGAATCAAGATTTGTAAGCATGTTTGTCTCAAAGCTCTTCAGCTGCACCTGCTGCTTCCTGTACTTTCACTTCTCTAGGCTCAGTTTTCTCATCTGTAAAGTGGGGATGGAGTAGGTGCATTGAACTAGATGGTGTCTGAAAGCCGGGCCAACAATGTGAGGTACTATTTTTATTTTTATTTTAAAAATTGATTTGATAGGGGAGCAGGGGAGAGAGTTGCTATTTCACTTATTTATGCATTCATTGGTTGATTCTTGTATGCACCCAGACAGGGGATTGAACCCACAACCTTGGCATATCAGGATGGCGCTCTAACCAAATGAGCTACCTAGCCAGGATGGCATTGTGATGTCTTAACCGTCAGATCATGTGCTCAGCTTCCCCTGGACTTCCTCTGTTAGGTGCCTCACAGGCACCCCACAGCCAATCTGCATCATACTGAGCCACCCTCTTCTCCCAGCCCATCTGGCTGCCCATCTCAGGATGACCTCCCCATCCACCTGCAAGCCCAAGTCAGTAACTGGCACTTTGCCTCTTTCCTCATCTCCCAATCAGTCATTCAGTCCTGTCAGGTGGATCCAAATCTGTTCACTACCCTTCATCCCCACTGCCACCTCACTGTTGTTCTCACCTAGATCATTGCAGCAGCCTCCTGGCCAGCCTCTCTGTCTGCAGGGCTTAACCCACTCCACCCTCCACATCAGTGTCTCAGAACTACAGCCAGGTCATAGTCTCATCCCGTTGCCGATCATGGTGCTTCTGTGTTTAAATCCCCTGGTGGCTTTCTGATGAGCCCACAAAGCCCATAGTGTCTGGTTCAAACTTCTTGCTGTGGCCCTCAAGGCCCTGCCCAACGTGGCCCCTGCTGACCGCTGGCTTTATACCATGAGCCTCCTCATGCCTCCACCATTCTATTCTCAGTTACCTCTTTTTCTAATCCTTCGCTCTGGCTGTCACAGGTCGCTCTGCCACCACTCCAGTCCTCAGGTCCTTAATCCCTGGAGCATCCTTCTAGGCTCCAGCCTCCGTTTAGTCAAACAAACATGAACTAGCAACAGCCTCTATGCGGAGGGGAAGTAGCAGGGTGGCCTGGTACAAGGGGCATTGGAATGGGAGCCAAGAAATCTAGGACCTCACCCTAACCACGTAATCTTGGACAAGTATGTTGACCATTTGAGCTTCAGTTCCCTCATCTTATAAAATGGCCTTTGCTACTCAAAATGTGGTCCAGCAGCATCAGCATGACCTGGGAGCTTGTAAGAAATGCAGAATCTTTGACCCCACCTCAGATCTACTAAATCATACTCTTTTTTTAAATATTTTATTGATTTTTCATAGAGAGGAAAAGAGAGGGATAGAGAGTTAGAAACATCGATGAGAGAGAATCATCGACCAGCTGCCTCTTGCACACTCCCCACTAGGGATGTGCCCGCAACCAAGGTACATGCCCTTGACCGGAATCGAACCCGGGACCTTTCAGTCCGCAGGCCGACGCTCTATCCACTGAGCCAAACCGGTGCTGGCCTAAATCATACTCTTCATTTTAACAAGATCCCCAGGTGATTCAGAAACACTCACCTACAGATCTCCAGGCTCTCTACCATGTTGCTCTGAGGCAGGGCCTGCAAGGGTTAACCATGTGGGCTAGTTAAGTGGCGTCCAGTGAGTCACCAGGTCCCTCCCAGTCTTACCTTCCAAATATTCCGGTTGGTTTCTCCTCTCCTCCCTTTGTAACTGTCTTGGCTCAGATCACCCCTATTGTTTCTCACCTAGACAATGGCCTTCACACCTCCTATCCCCAACTCATCTGCCAGGTCTCTGCCGGCCACCTCAGATCAGATCATGTCTCTCTCCCACCAAAACCCTGTCGGGTGACTTCAGAGGACAAGGTCCAAACTTGCCAGCTCGCAGTTGGCCCCGGGGGCTTTGCCAGCCTCATATACCTGCACCGCAGCCACAGGCTTTGCCTCACGCCCGCCCTCTGGGTATTTGCCTATGCAGGACCCTGCCCAGGGCCTGCTTTCCCTTCTTCCCTTCAGATCTCAGGGCCATCACCCGCTGCCTCTCAAGCCAGGCCAGTCAGTTCCTTTGCTCTGGGCTCTCCCCACCTGTCCTCTACCCAGGGTGGCATTTTGGGTCACAACTCCTCTTCACTGGCATTCTCAATCAAGGTGTGTGGAGAGAGGGAATGTGTGGGCTGCTGGAGGTACAGTCCTCCCCAGAGTCCTGTGAACTGAGAAGCCAGAGGAGGCTGAACACAGCCATGTCCAGAGACGGCCGTATTAGGCTCTGGGCCCCTCAGACTGTGGGTTCTGAGAACAGATGTGCCCTGAGGACGCCCCTGGCTGGGAGAAAAGACCTGGAGGGTCTTTGGGGCTGAAGAGAATGATAAGAGACGGTGCTGGGCAGAAGTGCCTCCTCTGCCAGGAGCTCTCCGCCATGGCACATTTGGGTGGAGGCTGCCTGGCCATCTGCTGGTGACATTCCTCAGGGAATTCCTGCGGCAGGCGGAGGCTGGAGGAGGCCCCTTCAAACTTGGAGATTTTGTGATTCCAGAGTTGGGCAAACAAGACTCACACACGTGGAATCTGTAATTATCGAGAGATGCCAGGCAGCATATAATTCTGCCTTAAGTGGCACTGCACGAGTGCAGCAGGAATCCTCTAGGGGGAAGTGGAGGAGTTGCAGGCAGAGGGAAAGCGCACAGAGCAGGTGGGTCTGAGAGTGCCTGGGGTGGGGGTGGGGGGGATGGACTGGAAGGAGGAGGAGGAGGAAGAGGAGGAGGAGGAGGAGGAGGAGGAGGAGGAAGGGAGGACATCTCTACTGGGAAATTACTCTGGAAGCAAAGGCAGAGAAGTAGAAACGAATTAGCATTTTTCCCCAGTTCCCATAAACACCCTTTTGACCTCTAGCTTCCAGCTCCTGACCCTGCTGGTTTTGCTAGCAGCAACAGCATCATTGCAACAACAATAATTACCATTTACAGAGCACCCATAACATGCCAAGCCTGTACTATTTATGGATATTATTTCAGCCTCCCCACAGGTATCAGGTAGGTGGTAAAATCTCCATAAGTAAACAGAAAGGCTAAGGAACTTGCAAAAGATCACACACAAGTGTTACACAGCAGAGTCTTGCTTTGCTGGAGGCAAAGGCAGCTCCTTTCCTCCGGACCTCATGGGACTGTCGCCCGCAGATAGACTTGCAGACATCTTTATTCCCAGGCCCCAGGCCTGCCAGGTACAGCAGGGAGTTGGAACTTGGCCTGACTTGGCTTTTTCCAAGATGCTGAGATTTGTGTTCCCACCAGCCATTCTTCACCTCAGAAGCCTGTCAAGCTGGGAACACTGGGAGCTGAGGCCTCTGGTCTAGGGAAGGCAATGCCCCCTTAAGCTGGCCTGGCTCCTAGCCCAGCGTGGTGGTGACTGTTGTGATGAGTGCATGGAATTGAGAGGGCCTAGGTTATTGCCTTTTTAAGTATCTGCCTCCCCAGAGATTTTTAACTCCTTGAGGGCAAGGGCTTGGCTGGTTCATCTTGATAGTGCCAGTGTCCAGCACAGGCTTGGCAAGGAGTAGATGCCTAGGAAAAGTAAAATGAATGAATGAATAAATGAATGAATGAGTGGCAGCAGGCACACCTGGGGGTTACCCGATCCTGTGTCAGTTTCCCTTCCAGGCCACTGGGTTCCCTGGGGATCACATCCACAAAGCACCCCTTTCTTGGCCAGAGACTGTCTGGTCCCTCAGGTTTCAGACACCTACGTGCAGGCCCGCTGCAGCAGCTGGAATGTAATTTGTCGCTTGTTTGAGGGCCAGGCCTGACAGGAGCCAGACAGGCCTGGGTGTTGGACAAGGATGGTGATGAAGCCTTGATGCAATTTGCAGGCTCCTGAAGAACTTGGGAGACAGATTGAAATGTCAGTTCTGCTCACGGGGACTCTCTTTTCACACTCCTAGCCAGTGACAAGAGGGGAGCTGGGGGCCAAGCAGGGGACAGAGAGAAGCAGAGGGAGAGGAGGACAATTCCCATAGGACTCCAGATTAACACTGACCAGAGGGTCACTTCAAGGAAGGAAATATAGCCACTTTGAGGAGACTGACTCTTTCCTGGATGGGATGTGCGGAGGACACAGGTTGTCCTTTGTCATCCTCCAGACCCTCGGCCTGACCTGTCTCCATAGAAGCTGCCAGTCGGGTCTCCAGAACAGGCCCTCATGGTGTGACTCAGAGGTGGGATGGTGCCACCAGTCTTTGCACACAGTTGCCCTAGTACAACCATGCATAGGTGGGTGAGCTCAAGGATGACATGTATGTGAGCCCCATTCCTAGCACCTGAGCCTCCCATCCCCTGCCACTGACCACAGCCCCTGCACCATTACACACTCCTGGCCACCGACACACACGTGTGTACTCTGACATAGGCCCGCTTGCATGCACACAGCTCCCTCAGACACATGGCCTGGCACAAGATCCACGTGCTCTTTCATGCCAATAGTATAATCACAATTTCCACCGTGAGTTCGAAAGCTCGTTTACACCCAGTATCCTTTCAGATCTCACCACATCTCAGTAAGGGAAGCAGGTCAGGCTGTGTTTACTCCAACTCCAGAGCTGAGGGAAACTTGTAGTCAGAGAAGTTGAGAGCTCCTCTTTGGGTCCCACAGTAATTCCAGGACAAAACCAGGACTCCAGGCCAGGGCTCCCGATTCCTGGTCCAGGGCTTTGTCTTCAGGCACAGCACCCCAGCCCCTCCCCCAATCTGGGAGAATTCCATGTGGGTGTCCTACAGGAGCAGGCAGGGCTGGGCTGAGAGAAGGGGTCAAGGATGGAGCACCCCCTCCCCCCCTCCCACTGTCCTAGCCTGAACCCCCTCTTTGGATTTGCCACACTGATAGATCCTCCCTTCCCTCAGCTGATGGACATACGTAAACCCCACCTGCGGCCAGACATTCCTGAGCTCTGAACCACCAATCAGCACCTGCCAAATACCCTACGCCATTCCTAAATCCCTAGGTCTCTAACCAATCAGCGTGTGCTGAGTGCCCTAAGCCCCGCCTTCTATCCTTAAAGGTGCTTGTAAGCCCTTCGCTCTCTCCCGCACCTCTCTGTGGAAGCAGCTGGCAGGAGTACCCTTCCCTCCAGTAAAGCCTGTGTCCTGCCATCCTGGTCTCCCGTCTACCTTCTCTATTTAATCTATCATGATGGTGCCTCAGATCCGGGTGAACGTGGTAAACCCTCTGGCCCTGCAGGGTCCTGAGTTGATTGGCCCGTTCAAAATACATCTGGAATCCTGCCGTACCAGGACACATGGGAATCTCGTCGCTTCTATCACACACCCAGGCCAATCTCCTGGGCAGGGAGAGGGGTTCTTGAGTCCTGGGATCAATCCAAGCTCTATCACTGATAAGTTGAAAGGTCCTTGGGGAAGTTACATGACTTCTCTGAGCTCCAGTCTCACCCGTGAAATAGGATAATCCTGCCACTTCCTGGGGCTGTGAGGATTCAGTTAGATTCCCCCTTGCAAGGGGCTCAGCACAAAGTGGGCGTAGCATTAGCAGGCCTCTTTCCCTTTCTTGAGGAGACCTGCGCCCTCCTCTGGTAAGACCATGCCATTGCCATGATGATAGCTGGCTCTCTACCCACCCCACCCGCCGGCCTGCCAGGGCTCTGCCTGGGAAGCACTGTGCCTGGGAGCCACCCTTCCCTGCCCAGGTTCTGTAGCTGCCTGGAAGCAGGGTCAAGGGCCTGAGGTGCCACTGCCCAGTATGGCCCCTGCGGGAGCTTTCTGAGCCAAGGAAAGGAGCCAGGCACAGACTGAGTAGCTGGGAGGGGCCTTCTGTTTCAATCTCAGGCTAAAGTCCGGAGAAGGTCAGGAGCTTAGCCCAGTCACCAAGATGGGCTGCAGAGCTGGGTAGGACTGGAAATTCAATTCCAGTCCTAGAGCCCGCAGCAGCCTCTGTGCTCTGTCTGAACTGATTCTCTTTCATAAACTCTTACGGGGCAGGGTCTGCTTTATGGATGGGCAGAGCTGCCTGTACCCCTCTGACCCCCCTCAAATGGGCCTTTCATGAAAGAGGAGGTTGTCGGAAATAACATCTCTTGCTTGATATGTCAGGGAAGAACTGGGTGCTTTGGCCATTAAACTGGCAGCTGGCCTGGCATGAGAGAAGTGTGTTCCAATGGGGCCACCTGGGGCACTGGGGCAGGGACAGCGGGCAGCTGTGCCCAGGCTCCAGATGGTATAGGGAGCAACCAAGCCAGGATGGAGGCTGGCAGTGGGAGAGCTCTTGGAATGCCAAGCACAGTCAGAGGCATGTGCCAGGCCCAGAAAGATCTGGAGCCCTCGGGGGAGAATGACTGGAAGGACCTGATGGGCTTGTGACCACTCATCATAAAAGGGCTTCTCTGGATCTCTCTAGAAAGAGCCTAGCCCGGTGCCTGAACCCCTGCTGCAGAGGGCAAGACTTCTCTGAGCTGTCCTCTGTGCTGTGGGCAGCTCAGACCCTGGCCTTAGCAAGCACAGCTATCTGCAGTACCCTGAAGGGAGATGTGGGGCTGGACATGAGCAGGTTAGGAGGGGCTGTGGTCCAAACTGGGCTGTCAGGGGTTCTGGAACCCTGAGGCTATTCTCATGAGAAGGACGTTGAAAGGGTCTTGCTCAGGGCCCCAGCCTTGAGCTAAGGTTGTGGTCACATGGCAGGGGCTTAATATCACCCAAGGATGTTTTTCCATTGATTTATTTTTATTTTTTTAGAGAGAGGAGGAGAGGGCGGGAGGGAGGAAAGAGAGAGAGAGAGAAAGGTTGATGTAAGAGAGACCCATAGATTGATTGCCTCCCGCACATGCCCCAGCCAGAGCCAAGGATCAAACCTTCAACCCAGGTATGTGCCCTTGACTGGGGATTGAAATCGTGACCTTTCGGTGTACAGGCCGATGCTCTAACCCCTGAGCACACTGGCCAGGCAGGAACAACTTTATATCCTACTTCATTCTGATTCTATCCCTTTCCCTCCGACCCTCCCTGCCTAGGCCTCAGGCTCTGTCTCTGGCCATCAAGGCTCTCGCCTTGGTGTGGAGGCGGAGGGCGGGGCGCCTGCCTTCCACATTTCCTGATGGCAATTCAGGGCTGTGGCAGGTCTTCCTCTCAAGGTTGCCTGGTAACGGCTTTTGCATTCTGATGAAAAAAAAAAAATGAGGCGGCAGCAAACAACAGTCACAGGGCTTACATGAGGGGGTGGGCATCTAGGGTGGGACTGGTGCCTGGGCCAGGGCTGAGGCAGGCAGAGCCAACAGCTTGCTCCTTTGTGGAGAGTCCCAGGACTGAGCCCAGCCTGGCCCAGTGGGCTTCAGTGGGGATGGTAGGCTTGGGGGTCAGGTAGAGCCAGCCTAGGCCTGCAGGGGCATCCAGCCTGGCATCAGCCCCTTCTGCCCCCTTCCCCACACCTGCAGCTGGTTCCTTCCACCTGGTGAGCCACAGCCAGTGCCACCTCTCATTAGGTGATGATTTTACATTAATTACCTTAATTAAGCGGCACTGAGTGCTAATGGCTTGGGGGATGGTGACTGTTCCTAATTACCCTCCCAGTCAGCCCAGAATGAGGGGCACAGTGTTTTGCGGAGTGGGAGCAAACAGTTACAGAAATAAGGGGAGGGCCCAGCCGGTGTGGCTCAGTGGTTGCATGTCAACCCATGAACCTGGAGGTCACAGATCGATTTCAGGCCTGGGTTGTAGGCTCAATCCTCAGTAGCGGCTATGCAGGAGGCAGCCGACCAATGATTCTCATCATTGGTGCTTCTATCTCTCTCTCCCTTTCCCTTTCTATCTTTGAAATCAATAAAAAAATATTTTTGAAAAAAGAAGGGAAGGGGTCCATCAGTGGTGACAGACGGTCCCTCCTCCACAGGGCCTGTCTCATAGACCTGGACCCGACATCCCCAGGGGAGGGTGTGGGGTGCTACCCCAGGATAGGTGTAGCTGACTGTAGGCCCGTATCTAAGGGCTTTGGAGCGGATGGGGAGATGGCTGGAAGTGGGGACCAGGTAGTGCCCAATTCCCTGGACTCTTCCTCTGCCCCTTCCCTGTGCTCCTCAGTTACCTTTCTGACTGCCTTCAACAGTTCTTTCCTTCCTTCCTTCCTTCCTTCCTTCCTTCCTTCCTTCCTTCCTTCCTTCCTTCCTTCCTTCCTTCCTTCCTTCCTCCAACTATCCATCACTTAGTTAGTATGTGGAGGACACATTCTGGGCCCCTTACTCCAAGGCACTGCCCAAGGTACTCACAACTTAGCTGCGGAGATGGGCAGCTGTAAACAGATGAATAGAAGGCAGAGTAATAAGACATGGGGTGGGGGATGCCCCAGGCTTTGGGGATCAGGAAGAGAATTCCCAGAGAAGGGGATGCCAGGGTTGAATCCTAAGGGAGGGGATAGCAGGATGGCTCTCCCAGGCAGAGGGACCAGCATGTACAATTGGGGCTTGAGGGGGCAGCGGGCTTGGCCCATTCAGTCAGTAGCAAGTTGCTTAGAGAAAAGGGGGAGTAGAGAACAAGGGATGAAGTGGTTCAAGATGGGCCCAGAGGCCTGGCCTGGACTCAGAGGAACCTGGGAGGTGTGGGGGTGAGATTAATTTTGTTTGAGAGAAGTGACCGCCATGTAGGTGAACGAGGGATAGTAAGGACAAGCGTGAATGGGGTGACCAGTGAGGCGGTCACCACATCACATGGGGGAGGGATGGTGGAGTTGGAGCAGGTAGTGATTGTGGGATGGAGGGGGCCTGGAGGTTGTGGGAGTGTCATGCTGATAGAACTTAGGTGTGAGTTGATGGGACTCAGGGAAGAGGGAGAGGGAAGAGCCAAGTTGACCTCACGTTGCCCCGGGGATTCCATCCACATTGCAAGGTAGTTGCCCTGCTCCAGGTTCTGACCAGGGGTCAGTCTCTGAGGAAAGCATGGGGTGCTAAGCAGATTGAAGGAACAAAAAGGAAGAGCTGGGTTTGGGGCATGTGAAGGTCAAGGACCTTTGGCACATTCATGAGGACCTGCAGGCTCAGGTTTTGGGGTTAAGAGAGAGTTTGGGGTTTAAAAGGGATGAGATGGGCCAGGGAGGTGGGAGCAAGAGGCTGGTGCTGTGGGTCTGACTCCCTAGCTAACTGGTCACCTCTCTGGTTGTGCGGCCATGTTTGTCTTCCCCACTTCTGCACCCAGAGGCGCTGCTCAGGGAGTATTTGCTGAAGGAATGAGTGAGTGAATAAATGAGTGAATACCGAGTAGCCTTGTATTCTCTCTCCTCAGTTACACAGATTCAGACACCCAACCCCCTGTCCACTGAGGCAAGAGCCCCTTCCTCAGGTTTTCCCAAGCCCCCGATCAAACCCCTGTGGGAAGAGGAGGGGCACACCACAGCCCCTCTTAGCCTAGGACATCGCTGAGGGGAGCAGTAGCCTCTTTGCTCACTGATCCAGAACCCTACCATGCTTTAGGCCAATCGCCTAGCCTTGGCCCCAGGGCCCTCCCCTCCAACTGATGCCCTTGAGCACCCCCCTTTCTCCCATAGCAGGTATCTTTCTGGAAAGATAACAAACTAGCCCCAGCTCTGCCCCTGCCCAATCCAGGTCACTCACCTTGATTTCCACCCCGTAGCCAGGGTAGACAGAGATGTAGTAGAAACAGTCCAGGCTGACATCAGGGGGTGAACTGGGAGCCGGGGGGGAGTCCAGAAAGCCCTCTGGTCCTGAGAAATTCCAGCTACAAGGGCCTGAGAGGCAGGAGGAGACACAAGGCTAAGCCCAGCCCTGGAGAAGTGGGTCCAGCCAAGGCTGATCTATGTGTGTGTGTGTGTGTGTGTGTGTGTGTGTGTGTCTGTGTGTGTGTGTGTGAAGCCCACCGCTTGGGATCTCTATTCCCCTATGGAAAGAAAGGGACCTTCTCTTGAGCACCTTTGGTGTACAATCTTATCCCAGTTCTCACAGTGGCTCAATGAGGTAGGTATTCTTACTGCCATTTTACAAATGAGGCTCAGAGAGGTTAAAGTTCCAAGGGCCTGGTGTAGTTGCTTCCAATCAGGATTTGAACCCAGGTCTATCTGGTTCCAATCTGCATGCCTCCTGCATCCTGGCCCTTGGTATTGGAGGGCAAGGCAAACTGGCCCAATGGTGCAGAGAGGAATTTAGGGCCCCACAGCTCCCCCATATCCAGATCTGCAAGCCAGCAAGTAGCTGACCTGGTGGCTGGACTGTGGTGATGGTGGTGGTGATGATGGTGGTGGTAGTGGTGGTCTCCTCATCATCCCCTGAAGCCGTGGAGGTGGGGATGGTCCCCTCAATCCCAAGCCCTGTGGTCAGGGACATGACCTCTGGAGCCCATGGCCTGCCCATGTCTCCTGGACCCTCTTGGGTTGGAGTCCATGCTCTGCTAGGGGGTGTAGTACCCAGCCTCTCCCCTGGACCTGTGGTGGGCACTGCCATGCTGGGCCCTGCAGGGAGGGGAGCTATGACATGAAGCTCAGGGGGCTCTGATTCCAGGCTCCAGGGTCCTTCCCTGGACAGGGGCTGAGTGGGTGCTGCAGCTATGGCCGGAGTAGGGCTGGTGAAGACCGGGCGGCTGTCCTGGTTGGCCAGGCGGGGAAGGGGACTTGGGGTCTGTGGCGTAGGTGGATCAGGCAGCGCCGGCCTCAGCTCCTCGCCTGTCTCCAGCCCCTCTTGCAGGAACTCGTCGAGCAGGGGGTGGTGGTTGAGCAGCTTCAGGGTGGGGGCGGTTGTGACAAAGTGGATGCCTCGTTCTGGCTGTTCAGGTGTGGGGGCTACTGTCCACTCCCCATCCGTCTCCTCAATGCCTGGGGCCTGGCCTTCCCCCATGGTTGGGGCCTCCGAGGAGAGTCCTGAAATAACAATGGATGATCAGAGGTTCGCCTCCTGCCGCCTGGAGAGCAGCATCACACTCAGTCCAGGCAGTAGGAGACTCATCTTGTGGAGTGTGCTCACCACGGAGAATCACGGGACTGCAGCACTTTAGAGCTGGACATGAGATGATATCACATACTTCAAGAACGGCACAGGAGATATCCTCTCCCCTCCAGCACTGGCAGTGGACATTACTGTCTATTATTGCACTATTTCCTGTTCTCAGTTTCAGCTCAGAATCCTTCTCAACACAGCACTCCAGGCAGCCATGCTTGATTCCTCATGACAAATAAGTATTTGCCATGTCTAATGTAGCTCCCAGGCTTATCGGACTGATGAGCAAACAGCCAACGAAAGGAGGTGACTTGCTCAAAGTCATATCGGTCGGGTGACCTGAGATGATACCCTTAGCAAGAGTGCCATCCCCACACAGTGACTGTTCTGCCTGCGATAACAGTTCATTTTTTTGTTCTCAGTGAAGCTGCTGGTCACTAGCACAGCAAACCTTGATATATTTGGAATTTTATTTTAGACTAGAGGCCCAATGCATGAAATTCATGCAAGAGTAGACCTTCAAAGCTGTGGTCTGCTTCCTGCATCCCTCCCTTGCAGCCAAGGCGGCTGCAGCCCTGGCTTGGTCCAGAAGGCTGTTCGGTCTAATTAGCATATTACGCTTTTATTATTATAGATTCCATCATGTGTTTCATTGTCTCATTGTCCCATTTCTCTCACTTCTCAGTCATTTCTTTTCTCTCTCTCTCTCACTATATATATCCACATATCTCTATCTATTTCTATCTATCTATCTATCTATCTATCTATCTATCTATCTATCTCTCTATCTATCTATCTATCATTTTGCCAGCTCTGAGAAAGCTGGGAGAAAATTCTGATTCTAACGTGTCTCAAAATGGCCACAGGAAGACTTGAAGGGAAACAGGCAGGGCGAGATAGTTTGCAAGGAGAACGCTGGCTCCTCTGCGTGTCTGGTGGCGGGTGTCATTCCACAGGCTCACACCCACCCCATGGATTGGCAGGCGTGAGGAAGCGGCAGATGGCTTACATTCTGTTCAGGAGACTATGGCAACTCCGATGTGTCAGACAAATGAGAGGAGGGAGGAAATTGGGGTGAGGAAGGTGGGTACAGGTCAGAGGGCTCTCCATTCCTCTGGGTTTTTGGTGCCTTAAAGCCCGGAGAAACCAGGACCAACCCCTATCTCCTGAGACGCCCACTAAAGCCGCCCATCTGTGCCTAGGCATTCTGTGCCAGGCCCTGTCAACACGGTGCCCAAAGTGGATGCCCGGCCAGGCCCAGACCCCCTGGAGCAGATGGTTGCCAATGCCCTATGTCTTTCATCTGAGCCAGTGATGGGAGGTCTAGGCAGTGCCATGCTGGGGCTGTTTTTACCTACCCCCGCAGATGTCACATGGCTGTTGCCAGGTGAGCTGAGATGATCTCAGCGTGGCACGAGGAAGAGAAGCCTCCAGGGTTGTCTAATAAAAGACGTGGCCTATGGCTCCCAGGACTGGTACTTGTGGGATTCTTCCCTGGGCGAGTGCAAAGAGATCCTCTCTCTCAGGAAGGGTCCAGAGTGGACACAACTCCTCCCGCTGGCTGCCAGGTGGGTGCTGGGCAATGGAGCAGAGCTAATGGGCACCTCACGTCACTGTCGATTGCACTGATTGTGTTATCTGGGGGCATGGAGCACTTGGTTAAATGGAATTGAGATAGCATATCAAAAGGGGAAATTGATTCTGCAATCAGCTGCCACTTGGTCCCAGAGGGTGCCACCCACTGTCAGAGACCGTACGATAATCTCAGGGAGACAAGCCATTTCTGGGAAGAGGGCATCTTCAGACGCCCTGGTTAACTGCGATGGAAGCCTGAGGCCCTGTGACACTCCCCCTCCCTACTCCCCTCACCCCACCCCACGGTCTCTCTGCCTGGGCTGACCGAGTTCAAAGGTGCAGAGACTGACAAACGGGGAGAGTGTGTGATGCAGGAGATGTCAGGGACCCGGATGCCCAGTCTCATCAGGTACCGATTGTGTGCCACACACTGAGTCAGGCTGTTCCAGACCTGTATTATTTAATGGACACTACACCTCTGTGAGATGAGAATTTTTTTTAATGTATATTTTATTGATTTTTTACAGAGAGGAAGAGAGAGGGACAGAGAATTAGAAACATCGATGAGAGAGAATCATCGATCAGCTGCCTCTTGCACTCCCCCACGATCAGCTGCCTCTTGCACTCCCCAACCGGGGATGTGCCCACAACCAAGGTACATGCCCTTGACTGGAATAGAACCTGGGACCTTTCAGTCCTCAGGCCAACGCTCTATCCACTGAGCCAAACCAGTTTCGGCAGATGAGGATCTTAGTCCCACATTACAGACAAAGAGCCTGAAGCTTGGAGAGGTGAGGTGAGGACTTGCCCTGTGACACAGTGGTGCAACTGGGATTTGAACCCGCACTGATCTGGCTTCAAAGCGTCAGTCTTTCCACACCAGCTTGCCTCACAGAAGAGACTAGAGCTACCCAGCAGAGAACATTCCAGCCAGTGGAGAAAGCGAAGGTTTAGAGAGAGGAAAGGACTTGTCCCAGGGTTCCTACAGGTTAGAAGTGGAGGTGGGGCCACAGCCTCAGGCATCTGGAACCCGAGCTGAGTCACAGCCAAGTGAGGCTGCGGCTCAGGGAGGCCCCACCCCATTCCCGAAGCACATCTGAGTCGGGGACGCAAACCAGAGACCCAACAGTCTGGGGCACAGAGCCTCACCTACCCGGGCTCTTTCAAATGTCCACTCTGCCACTTAAACATCATGCGTACCTGGCGAGTTTTTTTTGTCCTTGGCTATAAAGCGGGCACTTCAGAGGGGTTTTGTGAGACCCTGAATGCTCTAAATTGCAGTTTCCTGGGGGCACCAAGGAAGAGGCCATAGTGCTGCGAGGCTGGGCAGCCCCCTGCCAGGGTAACACTGAGAGGCAGGCTTCTAGAGTGGGGCAGTTGCTGGCCCAGGGGGAGGCCTCGCCTCTCGGGACTCAAGTTCCTTATTGTGTGGATGGAATGCGGAGGACAATGTGGTACCACCCCTGCAAAATGCAGCCACCTTCAAGGTCTGCATGTCTGTGGGGGGCTGCCCACAGCAAGACAGTCCCCATGATGGTCCCCAACTGCCCATCCACCCATCCACCCAGTGCCTGAACACAGAAATGTACCTCCCCCTTCCCCCCTTCCCCGGGTTGGCAGCATCCTAGGGCTGGGTCTGGGAAATACCACTCCCAACCCCCCCCCCCCCCCCCATTATGGATGCAGAGGCTGCCCAGAGCTTCTCTCTGTCCCCAGCCCTGGAGTGGCCCTGCGGCCGCCGGGGCCCTCCCCCTGCATTAGCTCTTAAGCTATGCAAATAGACATCGGAGGGAGCCCTGTTTAAAGTATTTAGACGAAATGAAAAAAGGCTTTCATCGGCACTAATGAGCCATTCAGGATGCTTCCCTGGTGGATTCTCCCTCTCCTGCCTCCTGGCCCTGCCATACACCCCTTCTCCCCCCTCATGCCGCCCCTCTGGGGATTGGAGGCCCCTCCCCCACAGTCCCATGGGCTTCCCAGGGAAGGCCTCTTGCTCTGCCCCCTCCTCCCAGGGCCCAGCTGGGGAAATGTAGAGGTGAGGGCCCGCGTGTTCTATGCCCTGACAGACTCAGATTAGAATGGGAGGAGGGGTGTCTAGGGGTGTCTGGCGTAAGCCAAAACATTTGGGGGGGACTGTTCTTCAGAGCATCCAGCTAGGTAGGCGTTATTGTCACTGTCTTATAGTTGGGGAAACTGAGGCTCAGTGAGGCCCAGGAGGCTGCCAGTGCGGTGAAGCTGGAATTGGTCTGTGTGGATATCAACAGTTTACGGATGCCATCTCAGGGCCAACGGGACTGTCCCCACGGGGCTGTTTCCTGCAGATCTTTCTGCACCTCCCAGCCAGAAAAACCTCAGGTTCCAATCCTCACTCGCTGACTGACCTGTTTCTTCATCGGTGCACTGGGGACATCTTGAGTTTGGTGCGGACCATCTATGCTCTCATCTGCCAGCCCCAACCCGTCCTCTGCAAGGGGTGCCAGGTATTCCCCTTCCAGGGCCTGAGTGGCTGGCCCTTGGAGGTAGACACAGGAGCAGAAGCCAGAGCTCTGAGGCGTCAGACTTGGTTCCCTCCTTGTGGTGGCATCAGCTCTGGGATGGGGTGAGGGCAGCAGGACAGCAAGTAGGCACAGGGGAGCCTGGAGGGGATGCAGTGGAGAAGGAGCCCACCCAGCTGGGTTCTGGAGGTTAAGCTGGCCCAGCTCAGGGAGAATAAGAATTTAATGGGATCCATTTATTAGCCCATAAAAGTTAATGAGTTTATTCTAGAGGTTTCTTGGCCCCTTTGAAGTTTTAATAGGGGATTAGTGAGGGCCTGGCCCCAGCAGAACCCCCATTATCCTAGAGCCCAAGGGAGGGGAAAAGGGCCCTGGGAGTGAGAGTGCCTGAGTTCCCCAGAGCCAGGGTCTGGTCTCTGCAGTGAGAGTTTCACTGGGCAGCCCCCATGTTGGCCTTGAGGGGTCCCAGCTGGAGGCTGGTGGGGCCAAATTAGATCCCTGAAGCCCTAGGCGATGTCCAGTTCTAGAGGTTTCTAATTCCACGTTCTACTGCAAAAACTATCCCTACAGCGTCTTTGCATCTGAGGTAGGTTTGTTGCTGCTTGACTACTTATATCAACAGGGAAGGCAATACCATAAGGCCCATATGACAAATGGGGAAACTGAGACCCGGGGCTGAGATGTGGTTTCTCTAAGGTTCCCTGGAAGATCCAGCAGAGCCAGAATGGACACATTCCTGTGGTCTGGAGCCAGGCAGCTGGGGCTGGTGACAGTTGCTACTACTCAGTGCTAACCGAGTGGACCATGCACTCAGGACCCTAACATGTCCTCTCTTCTCTCCTTACCCCAGGGAG